ACTTTCTCGATAGGCTTATTCAAGCCAACATAAAGTTTGTCTTGATGGACATTTTAATCCAGTTTTACCATGTATTTTACAGTGAAAAATGATAAAAGAGCATTTGCAGATATTGGTTACGAACATCAAGGGTTATAATAAGCTTTTATTACATTTTACTTTTTTTTTTTCATTACATTGAATGAACTCAACCACAGGGCATTACTGAACAGTGTGAGAATTGACAATACAGCTGAGGATACTGAAGAACAACGCAACCAGGGAAGGCTCTTAACTCAGACAGTAACAGTCTCTATTTGCAGAGGCAAATGGGAACATGAGGATATCACATGGATGGAACAAACACCAAACGCTGGAGTTGAATTAGCAATTTAGCAGAGAACTGGAAAATACACAGGAGAACAGATGAAGGAGATCAACAGGGTGAATATACAGGTGAGCAATCCACAGGAGAAGAACAGGAGCCAGACACTCTTTGTAGCCACACTGACAGAACCAGACAATGAATGCATTTCATGCCAGGCTTAAGTGCAGTCCGTGATTGGCAGGTGAGTGAGTTCCAGGTGTATATAATCAGAATGCAGGAGAGAGTGAGCGTAGTGTGTCAGGAGAGGGAGAGCCTGGTTTAGCCGTGACAGTTCCCCCTTCAACGGACCATGCCTGAGGGCCGGAGTTCCCGCCATTATGGCTGATTCTAACCACATGGTGTTGAGCGAATCGGATGACCGACGTGAAAGGTAGTAAGTGGGGTTGACTTTGGGAGTCCAGGATCTTGTGGACTGCACAGACCGGCCCATCATCCAGGAGCAGAGGCGGAGGAGAATCCTCTCCTAAATCTTCCGTACCGTCTGCCTGTTAAATTGAGGATGATAGCCGGAGAAGGGACTCATGGACACACCTAGGACAAAGAAGGAACTTCAGACCCTGGGTGATGAACCAAACCGGCAGAAAATATGAACGGTCAGACTTTATGTATTCAGGAGGCTAAAATTCCAGAAGGTGTGATGGAATGACACTTCTGTGTACTCTTCATCAGCACCAGATGACAGGCTTTGGAGAAGGTCAGCCACAAACAGGACACAGATGCCGGGAGGTCTGTGATGAACCCCACCCCTAGGTGAGACCAACGGCAGCGAGGGACGAGCAGAGGAAGGAGCTTACCGGCTGGAAGTTGGCAAGGCCATAGGGAGACAGTGAACAGTGTACAGGATTACCTTAATGCTGGAAAGACCTTAAGTTATTTTATTTTTTTATACTAGCACATCATGTATCTAACCATCCAAGTGCACATTCGGCGTTAAGAGCTTTTAAGATTAAAACTGGCAACTCCGCAGTGAGTCAGTGTCATGGACCTAGGACAGAGCAAGTGTAAATATCTTTTCTAGTACTATATTTCCATCTTGTAATGCCACTGTTTTAGGTATTTTTTTTAAATATAAATTATTTGTAATAGAGCAGACACTGTTTGACCGTGTCTACACTGGATGCGACAGTTGTCGTGCCGTGCCCCACTACGCTTAAAGTCTGTCTACACTTGACGTGAGAAAGCGACAGTTGCAAATCATCTGAACGTAGTGTCAGTACAGTTCGTCATAAATAGAACGAGGCATCAGTTTACTGTCGAGGATTTGTCGTGTCGCGCCGCGCCGCATCCAGTGTAGACAACATCACTGGGTTCTATTGTCTTTTGTCGGATCTCGCCACTCGTGTCTGGTGTAGACATGGTGTGAGTTGTTTTAATGGGTTATGTTATAGCCCTGCTTGTTTTTAATGTTTTTATGAAATATTTGTATTGACTGCATGATCATATCATCTTATTATTTACTGCCATGCGAGCCACAAAGTAAAGCTTGAGTAACACTGATCTGCTCTCCAGATCACATAATTCAGTGGAGAATTAATAGAAATTATATTAAGAACATGTGAGAATAAATCTGTTCTCAGATACCAACGATAGCAAGAACTCAGCATCCACTCTCTCCTCTCTCGGAACACTCTTCTTCGGTGTTTGTTTACACTGGTTTTGGAAACAGCGCCACTACTCTCACCCTTTTGTGTAACAGCAGCTGCTCTGGTCACGTGATCTAAGCTCAAATCTGATTGGACGGCCCGTTTCATCGCAGAGCAACAGGGAAAAAATCGACACAGGGATCTATTGTTTCGATTCAAAATAGTCATCGCGCCGAACATTCGCGCCAATTTTCACGTTCAGTGTGAAAAGGCCTTGAGGTTCTGAGCTGACTGACTCAGGAGGACCTTGGCGTTCTTGAACCCTGGACGGTAGGACAGATGTTAAAACAGGTGAAAAACAAGGCCCATTCTGAACCACCAGAGACAACTTCTCAGAAAAAAAAGCAGTGGAGTTTTGGTGGTTCCCCATGCCACTGAGATAATCCTCCAACACCTGAAGTGAATGCATCGACCTCAACGATGAAGCGTAGGTTGTGAACAGAAGGCATGAGGATAAGAGCACTTGTAAAGGTTAAATTCCAAACCTATAATTACAGCTACACAAACTGCCTGTCCAGGAACGCAGTGGAATATTCTGGTCTGCTTTCTCAGGTTTGGCTTCAGTGTATTGCATAAATGCAAAAAAGACTAATAGGCCATATGCCTAACAATAAATATTCAATAACGTGTGTCCACCAAAGAGTTTTTAGCCAGCTGAAATACAGAGTTTTGGCATGAAACTCTAGATAGCGCAGTCCGATAGGTCTAACTCAATCTGATCTAATGACATCATTATCACATGTCACAGCTGATTGGTTCTCTCCTGTATAGATAGCCAATGAGCTCTCTGCTCAACATTCAAATATATGACTAGGGCTTGCCATAGCAGTGCAGCCTGCTTCAGAAACCCTCCACCTTCCCCAGCTTCACCTGTATAGATTTGCTACGAGGTGATTCATGTACGCTATATGGGGGTTATTCATGTATGTTATATGTGCAGCAGCAGTATTTCTTACATGCTCACAGCAGCATGTTGTGGATGTATTGGCAGTAGCAAGTCTCGGTACTTGCTCTGCCGTAGTAGCAGCAGCGTAGCAGATCTATTCAGCCAAGACCAAATACATTAACATTGTCATGTACATTACCATGCCAATCCCTCCGAGAGTTGTCATGACAGAAATAATGTCAGGCGCTCTTCTTAAAACAACCAGCTGGTGGCGCTAGAAAACGCTTTGGTGGCACAGCGTTTTTCCAGCTGAGACGCTTTAGTTGCTATGATTTGGAATATCCACGGCTGCAACGTATTACTAGTATCTCATTTTTAAGAATTGTACTAAATATGAAAAACAGTAACCAGTAATATTGACTTCTCCATTGTTGTAGGCAGTCGTTGTAGAAGTAGGATGATTGGACGCTATTTGTCCCGCCCCTCCTCTATTTACGGCTGGGTAAATAGTGACATTGATGAGCACTGAGTTTCACAGTTATCAACTCAGCTGCAAAATAAATAAATACATAAATAAAATAAAAAAAGAGGACAAGGGCAAATGAACTTGTAATTATAATGGCAGTGCATCAATATTCAGTGTCATCTGTTTGCCAAAAAGAACACAGAACATTTTACGCACAATTTACACGTGGTAGCGAGCAGGTGTACATTTCTTTCCTTTCGTACCAACTAACATTTTGAAAATACGAACATTTTCATGAATTCGAAAGTTTACGTCAGAACAGTTTTATGAACGATTTACCGTTACACAAAAATGTGTTCTTCTGGCGTTTCATGAATGAGGCCCTACAGTATGTCCGTATGGGATTCAGAATCTTGATCAAAACATAGATGAAGTCCATTGCTTTCATCAACACCCCCAAAGCTTCATCGTCCTAAACCACTTCCTGGATCGACAATCACTTGTTTCTGCTTCTTTGCTGTGCTTTGATACAGATGTTCAGTACTCTTTCAGAAGATGTATAATAGCGCCTCCTACCATATCATAACAAAAACACTGAAAGCTGGAAAATTCTGTCAATGGCGGGTAAAGGGTGCACAAAAACGCATGTAGCGACATTGCATTGCAATGCTATTAGTTCTAAATGTGTCCCAGACCACAGTGAAGCTTTGCCTTCTTGTCTGCCTTCCCTCCAAAAAGAACACAGAACATTTTACGCACAATTTACACGTGGTAGCAGGCAGGTGTACATTTCTTTCCTTTCATACCAACTAACATTTTGAAAATACGAACATTTTCATGAATTCGAAAGTTTACGTCAGAACAGTTTTATGAACGATTTACCGTTACACAAAAATGTGTTCTTCTGGCGTTTCATGAATGAGGCCCTACAGTATGTCCGTATGGGATTCAGAATCTTGATCAAAACATAGATGAAGTCCATTGCTTTCATCAACACCTCCAAAGCTTCATCGTCCTAAACCACTTCCTGGATCGACAATCACTTGTTTCTGCTTCTTTGCTGTGCTTTGATACAGATGTTCAGTACTCTTTCAGAAGATGTATAATAGCGCCTCCTACCATATCATAACAAAAACACTGAAAGCTGGAAAATTCTGTCAATGGCGGGTAAAGGGTGCACAAAAACGCATGTAGCGACATTGCATTGCAATGCTATTAGTTCTAAATGTGTCCCAGACCACAGTGAAGCTTTGCCTTCTTGTCTGCCTTCCCTCTCCTCTAACACATGATCATTGTGGAACTGCATCAAAACAAAGGATTCAAATTTCTTTCTTTCATTTTAAGATTTATTTTTGGCATTTTTGCCTTTTATTATGATAGGACAGTGTAGAGCAGACAGGAAGTGAAGTGGGAGAGAGAGAGGGGGCAGGAGCTGGGATTAGAACTTGGGACGCCCCTAGCGCAACAGCGCTGTATGGATTCATATTTCACTGCACTGTACCAAAACACTGATTAAGATCAGAATGGTTGCCAGTGGCTGAACTGCAAATGAGTCTAGGTATTTTATCTCTGGTAGAAGTGTTTTGTTCCAGTGTGTCGGATCACTAAAAATTCATGTTATTCACTCACCGATGGAAGTTTAATTTCAAATATGCATTTATTGAATAAACATAAATCAAGCTTTTACAATAAAAATTCATTCTTGTTACAAAATCTTCTTGAAATGATATGAATAACAGCTGAACTAGACGTGATGCCTGGTAATAGAATGATGTACATTTTTTAAGAGGCTAAGATATGAATTGTCATGCCTGCCATAACTTCTTAACTTTGAGAGTTAGCCACAGTGTGCAGTCAGTGTTGAGGAGTCGGAGATCAGTGCTCGTTCAGTGGGATCCAGGCCTCAGTTTACCTGAATTACATTACAGGTGTGTGTTTTTATCGGCGAATGGACACGCTGCTTCTGACGGATGCGTTGGCTGCTTTTTCCCGCTCCATAGCAAACTCCATTTCAATTTTAGCCTGGATTTTCTCCCAGTCCACTTCCACCTGAACATAAGCAGGAGAGACAGAAACATTAATAAATCGTAAAATAAATCATAAACAATAAAAGCCCTATACAGAGGAGACTGGTTTACTGTGAGGACAGACAAACTCTGTGGCTTCAATCCCATCAAGCACAGACATTTGAACAGTGCTACAGATCAATGCACAGACACAGAGGTGAACATGTCTTACTCCCTCAGAGTACTGCAGGAATCTCTTGTTGGTTTCCTGTTTTCCAAAGTCCTGCAGGAACTTCTGTCTGTGAGCGAGCACCGTGTCCACGTGAGTTTTGTACTTCACGGCCAGCTCCAGAGCCCTGCGGAGAGACATGTATGAGCACAAAACACACACACACACACACGTGCACACACACACACACTCACACACACACGCGCACACATGCACACTCACGCACATGCACACACACACACACTCACACACGTGCACACACACACACTCACACACGTGCACACACACACACTCACACACGTGCACACACACACACTCACACACGTGCACACACACACACTCACACACGTGCACACACACACACTCACACACGTGCACACACACACACTCACACACGTGCACACACACACACTCACACACGTGCACACACACACACTCACACACACACGCGCACACATGCACACTCACGCACATGCACACACACACACACACACACACTCACACACACACGCGCACACATGCACACACACACTCTCTCTCTCACACACACACACGCACACACACACCTCACACACACGCACACTCACATGCACTCACACACACACACACGCGTGGAGTGGACAGTGTCAGCGACGGCTCGCACCTGTCCCAGTTGTAGAGGCTGATGTGTATCTGGATGGCGTGGTAATTGAGGTTGGCCTGCAGTAGAGTGGCCTCGGCCTCCTGCACGTGTCCGCTGAAGAGCAGCATGTGAGCGAGACACGAGTCTCTCGACGGAAGGTCCTTTATGAAGTTGATGTACTGCACCTTATCAATCTACCAGAGACAAAGACGAGCGTTAAAGAGACGGAGAGGAGACTGTGATGTGAGATATTCTCTCTGCAGATTCACCTCTCCTATAGCTGCATACGCCACTTCTGCTGTGCTCAGCTCCCTATTGGCCATCGCCAGACCGGCCAGACACGACCAGAGCGTCTGATCCTGTAAGAGAGATCGCTCTTCAGTGACATTTCTATAAAGTGCTGATGAACGGTCATTGCACTGCATGCAGCTATCAATCTTTGGATTTCAGTTTAATTGACCATATGCACGATTACTTCATTTCCGGTCAGCTGGAGCGCCCTTTGCTCGGTTTCTAACATAATCTATAAAGGTGCAAAATGCATTTACTTGCACATATTTGAGAATCGAGATATTTCATGATATATTTGGGGAATATTAAAAAAAATAAAACCCCTGCTGAATAAAACATGGTTATTTGTAATGGTTTTACTGGTTATAATGGGACTTGTATTGGTTTTACTGGAAACTGTAATGGACCCTGTTGGCCTCTACTGGTAATAGGTTGCCTTCTATTGGTGGCTTGTTAAAACCAATAAATCCTAATGGAATATGTCCCAAAACACACTACAGAAAACCATTTTTAATGGTTTTAATGGTTAAAAATGGATGGTTTTTAATGTTTGTAATGTTATTTGTTGTGGAAATCATTACAATTTTCTGTGATGGTTTTATTGTTTGTTTTTTTCAGTAGGGACATAAGCCCATATCAGTTTTACAGTGGTATTGTGGCTGCTGTGTGTCACATGACAAGCATGAG